CTCCCATGCAGCTTATTCTTTAGCCACACTGAGACAGTCACTGTTTTCTCAAAGACAGAGGACATTTCCTTGCCTTTTTACTTCTCTACCTACTGTTCCTACATCACTTCCACACCACTTCTTTTTTTAGTTTTTAAAATTATTTACTTATTTTATTTTTATTTTTGTAAAGTTTGCATAAGGCACATGTGCGAGAGAGCGAGAGAGAGAAAGTGAGAAAGCAAGTCACCAGGTCCAGGACTTGAGCGGCAGTTGACCATATGGGAGACAAGCACCTTAACCATCATGCCACTGACTGACCACCCACTTTCACACTTCCTGTGAGAGAGATTCTGGCTTTCCTTTTAGGCAAGAGGACTACAAGGAGTTCATGGAAAAATGGAATTAAAGTACCAGTTTATTTGGATTAAAAAAAAAGTTGAAACCCATGCATAGTTTTTCATAATACGCATTTGCCATGAACTTCTTGAAGACCCTGCTTGTCTCATACATTGCTTCGTTCCACCCATCGTAGAAAGGCTGCTTCTCTGTCCTCTCATAGACCTTGTAATATTTCACTATTATGCACTTCAATTTTTAAATGAGTAGCTTTCCCCTGCACTTGAGTTGTAAGCCACTTAAGAGTCAGACATCCGTATGTATTCCCTTAGTCATAATTTTATTCCCCAGTGTATACTGGGATATGAGTGTAATGTAGGCTTCTTAAAAGCAGCAGTCTTTTTGGCTGGCACATAATAGGTGTTTGCTGAATATTTCTGGAAAAAAAGGCAAATCATCAGTAATTGGTTGATTAGCAAGGGTAGCAATGTGTGTTTCTAATAAAACACTGTACCTACCCCTCGTGTTGACCATGTGTTCATCATAATACCAGCAGTATTTTCTGTAGCCTTTCAAAGTAAAACTAGACTCTTGATAATATCTAGCTTTCTAGCCCACTTACTATGCATATAGCTTGATCTAGTTTCATCTCAGGAGCTGGGTCATTTTTATACGTATCGCTGCATTTTTACTATCTGAATTGCTCCCGTGGAAAAAAAATACTGCTTTGTTGTAATTTTTAATTATCCCAATCATTCATTTTCCTTGGTTATTGAGAATTATAGCTAAATCAAAGGGAGAATTGAATTTAAGAGAAGTCGAATATGTATAGTTAACAAGAATCCCTTAAGCAATTTTCTTTTTTGGGCATATAGCAACACCTAGTGGTTTTATGGATTATTTCAAAGACTGTTTCTTGAAACAGTTTCCTGGGTTTTATACCCCTGTTATTTAACCACTGCTTATTTAGTATCTTTTCTTTTCTCTTAATTAATGAACAAATATCTTTGACTCTTTATATTTTGTCACATTTAGGAAGCAAGCTGGCCAATAGTATAGGAATGAATGTTTAGGAATTGATGTTTATCCATACACAGCCTGCCTCATCTCATGAAAATAAGTCATTTAAAGTACTTTAAATGCAAACAGCAAGGCAACATGGAAGAGCACAGTATTTTAAACAGTGGGGCTGTTTGCCATTCTTTAATTTGTTTTAGATAGACTGCAGTGCTTTATAAAACCTTCTATCTGTTTTTTACAGCTTTTCTCTCTTCTCCTCTGTTCATCCTGCCTGGTTTCTTCCTTTTGCAATCCTCTTCCTCTTTCTCGCCCCCACTCGTGGCCCCTTCTGATTTACTGTTTCTGTGCAAGTCAGATAACCACATAACGTAGTGGTAACCCAATTCTCTCAGCTCTTAATGTTGTCCTGTTTCCATTATGCTACACTGGAGATACATGCTAAATCCACAGTGCTTTAAAGTAGAAGTAACTAGATTTTGAGAGAGGTTATGGTCCACTAGATTAAAATGCATAGCCTTAGTGATTCTATTACTGCTGTTTTGGCCTTGGACAGCTTCTTTTGTACTTCCCATTCGGGTCCCTGAGATTTCATATTTATACACAGATTGAAGTGAATCAACAGATATTCATTGTGCATCTACTTACTCTGTCAGGTACATCGTGAGCACAAGCACATGTGCATCAACTTCTTTGATTGCATAATACAGTTGATAATGTGTGCAGGATTATAGATGCCTTGACCATTAATTGCACTTGAATGCTCCATTCAAATAGAAAAAATTAAAGATTATCCTAAAGATTTGTAGAGGATCTTATTCAATATGTAAACTTTATGACTTGTGTGGGACTATGGACAAATAATCTGTAAATATCCTTACAGATTATATTTTTTGATATATAGTTATAATGTTGAATTTTCATCTTACATTGATAGGAACTCTAAGCCATAGGGTAACTTACATCACTATAAGTGGTACCTATTTCTCATGCATCATGAGATCTGAAATAAGAATACATAAAGGTTATATAGCCTTCAAGCAGTGCAGCTACTCCAGATGATAACATGCTATTTCTATATACCTCTTATAGACTGCTATCCTGTGCACAACCTAGTCTATTAACATTTTATGAAGACACTTTATAATTTTCATGTAGTTCCATTCTTGATTTTAAATCAAATCTTGATTATTTGCCAAAATATTCAGGAACCAAACACAAAGGACTTTTTTGTAAACCAAGGAATTACTGATTTTAAAAATGATTACTAAATTATATAAATGTAGAAACAAATGGAATACTTGAACAAAGTAAAGTAACTCCCAACCTGCTGTGATTACTAGTTTCAGGAGTTGTTGCTCTTCTTTTCAGTGCATTTTGTGTCTTCTTGATGGGACATTTGGCATACATGTGAAATAGTCAAGTGACAATAAGAGTGTCAGGCTTTGTGGCCAAACCACAGGTGGCAAATTAATTAAAGCTTCTGCGCCTTCTCTGTGGTGCTTATCACTAGGAGAAGGTGCCCATTACTCTTTAAATCCAAAGGTGACAATTAAAATTTGAAATGCTTGCTCCTACCCAGTGGCCTGTGACACTGTTAGAGAAACACTTCCCCAATGTCTAATGAAGAGGTTCAGAGTGAAACTGCTTTGAAGAGCATAACCTGGGTGACTGGCAGCTCTTTCCATAAGATTTAACCATCTAATATAATCACATGTGGCTAATAAAACTATATTGGAAAAAAATTAATAATGCAGGAAAATTAATGTGTTAGATTTTTTTTTTGGAGAGGTTTTTGCTATAGGGCACATGTACTCACCAGAAAGAGAGAGACAGAAAGACAGAAAGCTAGAAATCACTCCCCCCTCGCCCCCCAGGGGGGATGGCCATGCTGCAATCCCTTCTCCTCCATTCTCCTCTCAGGATCTTGGGCACTAATGCATACGCGGCCAGTGTGAGTTTAAGCCACCGGGTCTGGGACTCGAACTGCAGTCGACTACATGGGAGTCCAGCAACATAGCCATTACACCAACTGCTGGTCCGTGTATTAGATTTTTTAAAAGAAAATTCTATAACTGTAATACAGTATCTATTTTTGTTGAAAATAAAACTTACCTACATATACGATTGGAAGAAACATGTATACAGTATTAACAGTGCTATCTTTGAGAGGTAACATTGTAGGTGCTTTTTCTTCTGTGTCCTGTTTTTTAGGGGGGGTCAGATTTTCAATGTGAACTTAATCAAAAAACAGCTTATTAAAAATTTTAAAAAGCAGTAGACTTCTATTTTTCCTCTACTGTGAAAGATGACTTTTTTCCCCTAGACTCCCTAGTTTCATCATCAGGAAATCAGGGAAAGAAGGAACACGCTGATTTGGGATTTAGAAAACCTGTTGCCACCTTCTATTCAGCAAATGGGTATACTGTCTATATTGTGCCCAGGCAGTGTTGGGAGAAAGCATTAAACAATGTGCGTAATTCTCTCTGGGAGATGTACAATAAATATTTACGTCTTGCGGTCATGAGGACTAAATAAAGAATAAGGGTATTTTTGAGTGCTGGGGAGTGGAATGATCATTTACTTCTCTGGTCTGAAGTTTCTTTATCTGTAAAAAGAAGGAGGAGGTGTGGTTAGATCAGAGGAATAATGAAATACTTCTCTTTCTTACACAGTTGCTTACTGACAGAGCTTTGTCACCTAAGTGCAGAAATAGGCTGAATCTAACATTGAGATAGAAGGGGAACTGTAGAGCCTCAGAATAATACTCATTAATAGGGAAAAAATGGAGACCAGCAGATGGCGTAGTGGTTACGTTTCTGGGATCCCACATGGTTGACCTTGGTTCAAATCCTGGACCCAGCTTCTTGAAAATCATGCAAGGGCACGTGCGCGTGTATACCCAAGATCTCAGGGGGAGAATGGAAGAGAAGGGGTTGCAGCGAGGCCATCCCCCCGACCTCACTGGTTTCTCACATGCCCTCTCATTGTGCTTTCTCTCTCTCTCTCCAGCATGTGCACATGCCCTCATGCAAAAAAGTTCTTTAAAAAATAGGAAAAAAGGTTTAAAAGTGATATTTCTGTAACTGTCATCAGTAATGAAGATAGCAAATGAAGAGAGCAGAGCATTAAATGTATACCCAATGTAGTAAATAGGACAAAAGAAAATGTATGTTTTAAAAGCAGTTTCTCTTAGATTAAAACTAATCTTTCTAGGATTGAGACTGGTGTATAAACACATGAAAGACACCTGGAAAACAAGAATTTGACTTCAGTTCTGTTTTTCTAGAAGACATACCAGATTTCATTTGTGTTTTCATATAATAACCTACATGAAACATTGAAAAAACTCAGAACAGGAAAGATAGAAGTATTCTTCAGAATCATGGCAGAAAGCCAAGGAATCAAATGGGTATCTTTGTAGAAGTTTCCTTTCGGTGAATAGTAGCCTTTCTCTGTTGCCCATCTTTTTCTACTTATGACATTATTTAGTAGTTGAATGGTTACTCATATAAAACTTTGCATGGTGACTTCTGTCACAGTGTCGCCTCAGAATGAAGAAATAAAACCATCCTTTGTTCCATAGGAATATTTCAGGTGGCGTCTGTCTTCTGTTATCTTCCAGCTGCTATTCCTGGGACCCTCATGCCATCTTTCTGTTTCAGATATCCTCTGGTACTTGCAGGCCTGATGTTGCTGAATCCCCTGAATTACGTCAGAAGTCTCCATTATTTCAGTTTGCTGAGGTAATATATTGCAATTTATACCCACCTAATGAGGAAATTGTAAAGTGAACTCAAATTTGGGCTGATGACAGTAACTGAAAACAAAAACTGTGCTCAGCTCCATTAATTATAAACGGGAAGATAGAACCAAATTTTGGAAAATAAATTTTGGAACTCCAAAGTTTTTTTATTAAGGGGTATCTGTTAGTTATGTGTTTATAGAAGCTTGTTTACAAAGAGGATTATGTCACTCAAATGTAGACATTGGCCAATTCTAACCATAAATGTCAGGCTAAATATTATTGTATTTAAATTTCATTACTAATTATAATTCTTGGATAATTAGTCAAATAAAATAGGCTAATTTTTATTAAAACTTGGCGACTTGTAACATGTCGATTCGACAAATCAGAAGACAGAATCAATTCATGGTTAATGTCTATGCATTCCTCTTGTCTTTATTGGAACTTCAGCATGACATTGGCAGTTGTCAGCCTTATGTCCTGTGTCAGACCTGTTCAGCTCAATATATCTCTTGACACTGGTTAAAAGAAGTGCTATAGAAAAGCGTAGCATCCCTGCTTATTGGCATGAAGTCTGAAGGTTTCTCAAAATATTAGGATATCGGGAAAGTCATGATGTATTTTTCTGTTTTTCTCTGTAAAAATGTGTTATGACTTTCTCAACAATCTGGGCACCTTTATTTACCCTAGAACTCATTATGAACTCTCATTGATTATTTTTTTTTCTCTAAACTTTAAAGCACTGGGCTTTCCCCGGATCGTTTGAATTGACATTTTCTACCACTATCATCCTTCCTGGTATTTTGTTTATTGTGTTACAGTTTTTGTGTTAGTTTTTCAGATTTTTTTCCTCTTTGGTGTCCTTCCTGGTATCTCAACATTGCATTGGCAAAACTGTTTCTCACACTGGTACATTATGACACATTATGTTATTCTTTAAGACTTGTTTACAATATCCCTAAATGCATTGTTGCTGTCACCAGAATGTTAACAATATGTATTTGCTCACAGAATATTCTTCATCTATCACTTTTCTTTCTTCATCTGTGTGAGATCTGTCATGAGTTGCAATTGTTGTATATATTGTTTTCTTAACAATTTACAGTAATATTTACTCTGCACTTTTTTCCAACAGAAGTTATAGATATGTTAAAGAAGGTTGACCCCAATTTTGAAAGCAGAGTTGCTTAATGAATGAGCCATGAACTCATAAGGAGCTAATGAAGTCTGTAAAATTTTATATGAAATGTTGGGCATATTAACATATGTACATTTTTGTGACTTCTACAGTATACCTAAGATTTCAAAGCAATCCCTGATCCTATTGCTTGTATGTAAAAGGTCCCTGTCTTATTCTATTTTTGTATTACTAACAGAAATGCCTAAGACAATGATTTGTAAAGAAATCAGATTTTGTTTTTGTTTGTTTGTTTTTAAGGTTTTTGGCATAGGGTGTGTGAGCTAGAGAGAGAGAAAGAGAGAGATATCACACCACAATCCTTATCCTCCGTTCTCCTTTCAGAATCCTGGGCACACATGTACATGCACCTGTCGTAAATTTCAAGCTGCTTGGTCCAGGATTCTAACCAGGGAGTTGGCCATATGAGAATCCAACACCTTAACTACCATGTCATCTGCTGGCCCCGAACTCACAATTTTGATGGTTGAAATGTTAGAAGGCATAGGCCTAGCAAGAGGCATGGCTGAAACATGGTCATTGGAAGCACAGAGGGTGACACGTGGGTGGAGAGAGAACAGCAGTCTGGTGGTCTCTTTTTATACCAGAATTTTTTGAAACATTACTCTGTTCATAAGAGTGTTGTCTCTGTGATACAATTACTTGAACCAGTCACAGCTCATTAGGCATCACTTCCTCTCAACATCAAATTACAAAACATGAAACTTTTGGGGACAAAACATCATCCAAGCCATAACAGTGCCTGATCTTTCCCAGGAGCTCGTATTCATGTCATTAATTAAAGTCTGCCTTTATCCCAATATTAATTTATGAAAACATTCTTTTTTAAGAACATACAAAAAATATTTTTTGAGAGGTATTTGCCTTAAGGTGAGTGTGCTGGCTGGAGAGAGAAACAGAGACAGTAAGAGTGGACATCCCCTACTGGGCGTAGGGGGTAATGCAGTCCTTTCTCCTCCATTGTCCTCCTGGGATTGTGGGCACACTCACACACATGCCCAGTGTGAGTTTCAAGCTGCCAGGTTCAGGACTCGAACCACAGTCGATCATGTGGGGGACCAATGACATAACCGCTACACCATCTGGTTGGTCACCATGTAAAAATTAAAACAAAACAACACAAAAAAAACAGTAGATTGTAACACTCATTCCATTGGGTGGTCAGAAGAGTCATGGTGTATTTTCCTGTTTTTTTTTTTTGTTTGTTTTTTGAGAGGTTTTTTTTTTGCCATAGGGCACATGTGCTTGCTTGAAAGACAGAGAGAGAGAGAGAGAGACAGACAGAAAGTGAGAAATCATCCCCCAGGGGAAATGGCCACACTGTAATCCCTTCTCTATTTTCCTCCCAGGATCTTGGGCACACACGCACACACGCCTGGCATGAGTTTAAGCCACTGGGTCTGGGACTCAAACCGCGGTTGACTACATGGGAGTCCAGCGACTAAGCCATTACACTAACTGCTGGTCCCTTCCTCTGTTTTTCTATGCAAAAATGCGTCATGACTTTTCCGACAACCCAATATTTTGTTTAGCTTTTCAAGAAATATATTGTAAATTAGCAGTTTCCCATTATATAAACTGTTTATTTTATCTAATTTTATGGAGTGTTGGTAAGAATAAAAAGTATGTCTGAAACAAGACCTACTGAATTTGTAATTTCCAGGACTTCAGAAAAATCCCTGAATATTTGCAGTCTGTGACACTTGCACATGGTGGTCACCTAAAATGACAAGGTTATGGTTAGACAAATAAAAGTTCTACACTTTCACCCTTGAATGTCCTTAAAAAGGTTGGTTATTTATTTCATTTCTTTTTTAGGGATATTTTTGCTTTAGGGTATGTGTGCTCGCTGGAGAGACAGAGAGATAGAAAGTGAGAAATCACCCCCCAGAGAGGGTGGCCATGCCATAGTCCCTTTTCCTCCATTCTCCTCTTGGGATTTTGAGCATGTGTATGCACATATACCTGGTGTGAGTTTCAACCTGCCAGGTCCTAGAGTCAAACCACAGTCAGCCACATGGGAAACCAGTATGCTATCTGCTGATCCCGACGGTTAAATTTACCCTTTTGAGACCAACAGATGGCATAATGGCTACGTCGCTGGACTCCCATGTAGTCAACTACAGTTTGAGTCCCAGACACAGTGGCTTAAAACTCACACTGGGCATGTGTGCATGCATGCCCAAGATTCTGAGAGGAGAATGGAGGAGAAGGGATTGCAGTGTGGCCATCCCCCCTGGGGGTGATTTCTCGCTTTCTGTCTCTCTGTTTCTCTCTCTTTCTGTCAAGCACACGTGCTCTATAGCAGAAAACCTCTTTTTTTTTTTTTCCCACCCATTCATAATACTTTGTTCTTATCTATTGGGCCATTGGAAGTCATGACGTATTTTTTTCTGTTTTTCTTATGCAAAAACGCATCATGACATTTCCAGTGACCCAATAGCATATCAGATAGAATCTGGTTGATTTTTTTTTTCTTTTTGTGGTATTTATTCTTAAAATGCTTTTCCATTTGTTTCAGAAGACACGTAGAATTAAAATTTTCCTAAAGGCTTCAACAATAGATAAAATAATGTAGTCATCTCTAGTTATTCTTTATGATTGCTAGACATCACTGATGCTATGTCATCACATGGCCCCATTGTTTTTCTAACCAACTTAATTTGAGATGAAAAAGCAATGTTTTTTATTAATGTTATGATTAAGATGCATTTATTGCTTATTAGTAAATGTCTTTTGATGGAGTTGGTGAGCAGTTATTTGAAAGAAAAGATTTTTGTGGGATTGGAAAAAGACTGAAGTTATAATATCCAGGTTATGTGCTCTTGTGACTCACTTTGACTGTTTTATAGTTGGATAAAAGCTTTGTTCTCTTTGGAATCAAAAATAATAAATGACCTTTATCACACACACAAAAAAAACAAAGTCTTAGAAAGTATTTCCATGTGGCCCTCAGGGCAAAGTTTGAGTAAAGCTACCATAATTACCAAGTTGAAAAAAGAGTTTACTGGGTGAATCACGTGTGATATGGCAGAATCTTTTATCTGCTGTCAGACACTGAAATTTATATGTGTTTGTATTGACTGGAAGGGTGTATGTGTTGTAAAAGAAGGTATATACTTAAAAAAAAGCTGATAATACTTTTCAAATTCAGTGAACAGTCTATTGACTTTTGGTACTGTGCCAGGTAACATATTTTATGGGTTATTTTCTCACCATAATCTATAAAATGGGGACTATTATTATTTTCATCATCAACAATTTATAGTTGGGAAAGATAAGTCAAAGGAAGTTTAGCTGAGCTGCCCAAGGTCGTGTAGCTGGTAAGCAGCAGAATTAAGATTCAATCCTAGATGCCCTGACCGTCCCTCAATTTCATACTGTCTCGCAGTGGAGACCAGCTTGGAGAGTTATTGGGAAGAAAGAGACTAGATTGACTTGAAGCCTCCAGCTTTTAATAAAAGAGATCTTTAAACTCATTGAAATGAAGTGCCGTTTGGTACATACTTGACACCTCCTAAGGGATATAACAAGCCAAACTGTTTTTTGTTCTTTCTAATCATCTCTTTTTAGAAACATAGCCCTTGTCTTCCTTTATCATTTTTACTGTTTTTCTAAAAGGGATGGAGAGTGATGACTCATGTTTCCATCTTGATCAGTGTTTACAGTGGAAATATATGGCAGAACCTAATCGTCTGATATGGGAAAATGTCCTTGTGCATTAAAAATTACTTGTTTCCTTTCAGATATCTTCAAGTACATCCCACCCTGATGCTCCTACAAAGCAATGTCAAGCATCGGCCTTGTTTCAATTTGCAGAGGTATGACTTCTTTTTTTCTTAGGCTTATTGGGCTAAAAAAAAACTTTTTAAACTCAGGAAATACTGAAGTGGAATTTTAATAATGTACGGTGAATTTTAGGCAAACCTCTTGCCATTATTGACATAGTATCCATAACAGTATTTATTGCTTTTTTGCTGCCTTTGGTGGAATCACAGTCAAATCAGCTCCAGATTTTATACCAATGTTGTAAGCACTCATTAAAGAGTTCATCCAGAATAGGCAATTACCAGTAATTCATTTATTTCCTTTTACCTTGTTTTTAATTTATTTTAAAAGCTTGAAAAAAACTGCTGTCAACATAAAGGCCAGAGGATTCCAATTTATTAAATTTTTCTAATAGTAAAATTAGATGCTGTAATTCATGAATCAGTCTCACAGTGAATGCAGTGGTGAATACAATCTGTTAAATCACTGCCACTTAGCTTCCGACATAATGTAGCTTCAGCCAGTATTTTTATTAGTGCTTAATCCCAAGCTTAGATCAGGTCAGCACTCGCAGGATCTCACATTTCTTTGGATTGTCAGCCAGAGATGGAACACACACTCGAGTGCATTTTCTTGGTTGGCAGGCTGAAGAGGAGTATCTGATATGTTTTGTTTTGCCACCAAAGGCCTGACCTCAATCATATGCTCATTTCTAATGAGCACTCTATAACAGATAATAAATGCATACAATCTATGAAAATAAGATACTCTGCTTTAGGTTTTGCCTCTTTTTCCTTTTTATTAATTCCAACAAAAAATGCATATCCTAAACTCGGCAACTTTTTTATAGGGTTGAGAGAAAATGACAAGCAGGACCATTCTGTTTAATATTGATGTATTGAATCTCTTTGATTCATTTGAATAAAGAGTGCTGCCTAAATGAAATGTAAAATGATACCCTTTTGGCAGGAGAACACCTAGCATCTTACTCTGAAAGTGATAAAAAATTACTTTCGGCTACATTAAAAAAAAAAAAATGCTGCTTCCTCTTGGGATCCTCTTGGGATCCTTGTGTGAGCCTGAGCCACCATGACTTTGTGCCGGCAGCTGGCCGGCTTATGTTGAAGGCTTCTCTGCCACAGTACCTGCCTTAGCTGCTGAGGGCTATGGTATAACCTGGTAACAACAATATATCATGGTATTATTCACAAAGAACAATTTGCTTGATGAATCTGAATAAATTAAGACTCTGTTGTAGTTTTTCATTATGGTAAACAGGCTGTTATTTTCACTGTCTGGGGAAAATTGTTTTGTTTAATAATGCTTTCTTGCTTTCCTCCTTTTCTTTGATGCTAATCACTTTTTTTAGGGTTAAAAAGGAATTTGGGCATTGCTGTTTGATGAAATTCAACACTGTTAGCATGACTATTAGCAAGGCAGTGGCTCATCTTTGACACACCTGATATTTACATATTCGCTAACTACTAAGAGCATTCAGCTTAATTTAAAATGTCAGTTCTGAAATCTCAGCCAGGGCTGTTGCATTTCTAACAGGTATCAACACACAGAATGTGGTTCAGTATTATTTAAGCAATGCCATCGTCAGACTTATTAGGACCTCCTGAAGCCCTAGGGCAGCTCTGAGGCTCCAGTAGTACAGCTGCTATCCTGTGATTCTGTAGAATGAGGTCCTGTGCCTCTGTTTTTTTGCTTGTTTGTTTGTTTTTTAAATTTATTTTACAATTAAAGTATGAATTTATTTTGGTACAAAAACTTTTTGAAATTCATAGTTTTTCTATTACACTGCTATTCAGAGCAAGAGAAGATTCGGCACTTGTCTCTTAATTTGACTTTGTTTTTTCGAGGGAAGAAAGGAACTTCTTTGGCAGAGGGTTGTGCAGGGAGGCATTTCCAGATGCTGTCCCTCTGCTCAGTAGCACTTGTCCCCTGAGGGGTTTTTGTTTTCAACCATGCAGCATGTGCAGCAGGATTTGAGGAAACTTTTCAAGAATTATTCACTTGAAAACTTATTAGGAGTCATTCCAAGGTAGCACAACACAGGAAGGCATACGTGATGGAAAAACAAAATAAAATGAATTATGTGAAGAGATGCGATTTTTGTTTTGCCCTAGAGTCAAATGAGTCCCCTCCACCTCTGTATACTATTTTTCCTAGGTATATTCTGCAAAAGTATTATAAGAGTCTTTTTAATTCCTAAGCAAGTTAAATTATTGCATACTTGGTTATTTATTTTGTAAATATTATATATGATTATGTAAGAGTAGAGCTTATGGTTCTATCAGGATGCATATAAAATTCTCTAAATCACTTTCCTCATCTGGCCTAAGAAATTCTTATAATATGACCATGTTGTCAGCCCAGTGCTGGCCTGCTGTATTTAAGGCTAAATAACAGCTAATGAGATAAAGTAATATTAAAATCTGCCATGAGCATATATATTGCAGTAGAAATAAACAGGCTATAATTATGAAGTGTGGCGATATCCCTGAAGCTCTTAATTATTTCATAATGCATCATCACCTTTGAGAAAACATACAGACTCTTGGAATCCTTATTCTAATTGGTCTAAAGTAAACATTCTCAAACTTTAAAATGTATCAGAATCATTTGGAAGGTATATTCAAATACAAATTATTGAACCCTATCCCCAGAGTTTCTGGTTCATTAACTCTGGAGTTGGGCCTGAGAATTTGCATTTCAATAAGTCTCCTATTAGGGAACCACAAGACAGAGACTACTGCTATGTAATTGTGTTTTTCTTGTTAACCCCAAATTACTAAATCATTATTAAGATAGTTCTTAATATCTCTGGCACCCCATGGGGGAATGGTAGAAAGAGTAAAAGGATAAATAATAGAAAATTACCCAATGGGCCACTTTATATCCCCTCCCCTTTTCAGAGGGATTCTCAGTCTTATGTGCTCTTGGAGAGAAATGAATGTTTATATAATTAGGAAACAATTTATTCTTGTAATTGTTTAGCTTTGTAGCATCATTTTAGCAAAATTCTTAGAAACAGTTTCTGCTAATTTTACTTGCAAACTCTTGTAACCCTAATAAGAGGTTAACTAGATCTTCTCTTAGAAATAGGTCATTTATTGTGTAATGTATCTGAGAAACACACTTTTTAAAGAACAGTAAGCCTTGGAAATTTATTTAAGTTGAAATGTTATTTCTTTCACATAGACTCTCGAATCTCTGCTTTGCAAGCTGACAAGGATGTTTTCTCCTTCCTAACCAAACCTGATCATTTTAAAGCATTTTGAAGTTAATCTATATGGAACCATGAAATCGAATAAAACCCATTTTGTTTGTAGGTACCTCATAAACATTTATATTGAAAAGGAGATAAGTAATATAGCTTTTGTAGGATCTAGAAAGAAACACAATGCAAACTGCACCTCCTACCCCAATTTCAGCCTGTCTCCCATTCCATATTGACGTATTTCATCCAGATTCAGCTTGGCCTGTTTAGAATGTCATTATTGTGTTTCCAGGGAATGAGTTTCCTGTGTGCATCTTTTGTTGCTCATAAGTAGAGTGACTCTTCAATCGCTTTTTAGATCTAGTTTACTGAAGACTAATAACCAAATAAAATGCCTGACGGGAACTATTGTTTTCCACTATGAAACAGATCTAAGTGCCGTGGCCAGTGTTCCTACTCTCTCCTGCTCTGTGGTGTGGCTGACTTTCAGATCTAGAGTGTATCTTTGCCTTGAAAAATGACATATTTACTCGGAAGGTACAGAGAGCTAATCTGGGTGATTTAGACAAATAGATTTGGACATTAAAATTTTCTCAGAGGATACTTTGCCAATATAAATACAAGTGTAATCTCACCAAATTAAAGTATTGTCACAATCAGATACAAGCAGGCACAAATGTAAAGCATTTGTTCTCATAATGGAATGCTCCGAATGGTGCAGAATATTACCCTTGCTAAAAGCACCAATACCCTCACCCTGCAGCTAATCAGTGACTGCTGTTCTCCTTGGAACCGTTAATATTCTTAAGCTAAGGAAGACCAATCATCCGCATATTGTTCCTTTGTGTTCTGATTCATTTACTCGTTCTACAATGCTCGTTTTTTCCCAGGTGCAATGTTTGTGATACCTCAAAATTGCAAAAAATCTCTACCATTATCTAATTTGATTTGGAGCTTTCCCACCTGTTTTCTTGATGTGATCACTCACCTTGGGCAGCCATAAAATTGGTCATTTAATATCCAGGATGATCATTTTGGTTGATACTTTCGCTGAGCCTCATGTGCTGTTTCACCCACCTTTTGCTAACCTTATCTGAATATTACATAGTAGTCAAAAGAGAGGTTACAGTGGTGTTCACAGATGGGCAGGCACATGCGATGTGAGAAAAACGGACAAGCACAGCCACAAGTATATTAGGCAGGATGGTCCCTAGTGCCCCCTACCCACCAGTGTAGCAAACATGCACTTCCTTCTCCCATCATTGAAAATGCATGAACTGCTTGACAGGATGGATATGTCTCTTAAATAGAAAATATTGGCAGGAGTGAGCAGTAGTCTTACAAGCTCTATACAAGCTATGCTTGACATTGCAGCAAGCAGTGTAAATGAGATTATTGAGAGAAAACGTGTAACTAAAAAGAGCAAAGGCCTATGGAAAAACATTTAAGGGATCACTATAGAAAGAAGAGACAGCAAAGAATAGTGACAAATAGTGACCTAAGAAGTAGGAGAAAAACAGGGACCCTGGAGGAAGGAAGCCCAGGGAAGAATTTCCCAAAAGCAATATTAGCAATGCCCTAACCTATAGAGAGATTGAGATAAAAAGGGCCAACCCACTGAAATGAACATATTTCCCATTTTCTACCCACCCACACACTACCTGCAAATTTAGAAGTCCAAAGATATTTTTAAGAAGAAATTTAGAAGAGATTCGGACTACTAAAATGTGCTTAATAATGACCATTTTCCCCACCCCCACAAGGGTAATCAGGCTTCCAGTACCTTGAGCATTTAAAATACTGCCCTGTACCTCTAAATAGGTAAAAGTCTTCCCAGAGACAATGAAGGAAATTGCTCTACTAAATGTAAGTGGTTCCTCTTAAAAGTCAAGGAACCATTACCAGACTGTCACTCAAACTGCTGCACATTGACTTGGAGGGCATCCATGTACTCAGTAGGTCTTCACAGGGCCTCTCAGCATGCCGTACACTGCATGAAACACAGGATACATGATAAATACACAGGATCAGAAAGAGGAAGCCTATGGTAACAGATGCGACAGCAGAGGGAGCCAGTGGAAGAACTAGAAAAGCAGCCTGGACTATGTAGTGAAGTATTGTCCAGCTCCTGTCCAGTTTTAGTAGTTCTTGAGAGTATCACATGATTTTGCAACAACTTTAATGTTCTACAAATTACTAAATAAGTATCATCCTCAGGCATGGCCGTTTTTAATTCTGCTCTATTTCAATATGTAACTGATTTTCAAAATGGTACAAAAGGGCTTATGTTTATTAGTGTTAATAATAGGGCCCTTTATTGAGAGCACAAGAGGGCCTCAGCACTGTGCTGTTCACTCTTGTCAGAGCCAATCTTCAAACATATGAACAGGTATTGTTTGTTTTTTGAAGGTGAAGTAAATGATCCTCTAAGGCTTAATTATTTGCTTAAGTCCACACAGCAGAGTAATGAAGGCATGTCTGTCTAGCGTAAAGGCCATGTTCCTTCTGTTATACGACCTTGGTTCAAGGGACTAGCATTTATGTTCATTCTCTTTAGTCACTGCAAGTCAGTGATATTAATGTCTGTTTTCTCTTAGTCTAGTGATAAGGTAAGAAATTGAATTCAGCTTGTCTAGAAAATGTGGAATAGGCATTTATCAGTGAAGATTCGGCTAGAGGAAAGTATTTCAAACTTCAGAAATATTGAGCCCCACAAATTTATCTTCTAAAGCAAAAGTAAAATACTGGGATGAATAGAAAAGGACTTGGTTAAAAACTGTAGCATCTA